AACCTAAATCCTAGCAGAAATCTTATTGATGAAGAATACTAAACAAAAATGTACCATGTGTCCTCCTTTTTTTTTTTTCTTTTTTCTTTTTTGACGTATCCCAAAATTAACTACAAGATTTAAGACAATACTTGAATTTCTTGAATGGCACGTAAGTATTTTTCATGGTAACTAGATAATGTAGGTCAATTTATCAGGATCAAATAAATTAAGGCAATGCAAAGTACAGACAAGTGTTACTGCATAGCCTCAGAGTTTGGATTGCTTGTTTAAACCTTAACTTGACTCCCTCATTTTGCAGTACGAGTGATTTCTAATTATTATTAGTCCACTCAGTCCCGAAATGTAGTATGAACAGACACTGATGTAATTTGAAACTTGTGCTGCTACGATACTACACTACATAAATGTATTGTCTGAATGATTGCTCACAAAAAAAATTCACTTGAAACAAACATCAGCATTTCAGAATGGTAGTTTGTTTTTAGTCTGATATTTTAATTATTTTTTTCCATGGCTCTATAATTCGGAATTCAACGGAGCCAACATGACATCATCCAATACTGAAGTGCCGTGAATCTCTCAAAACCTGTAAAAACTAAACAGAAACATTATGAACAGTGGTCAATTTCTCTACATCACTGCTTTAAAGGTTAAACAGTCTCCATGTAAGTTTAAATTCGTTTAAGCGCTCTCAAAGTTTACATAATTTGTCAAAAGACAACCTTAAGATCAGGTTTTAAATCCTCCATACATGATAACATTTTAGGTTTCAAATTTTACATTAAAAGGTTGAAATTCACAAGTTTAACATTGGTACAGTCAAATATAATAAAAGTCATGCAGAACATTCCAACTTGGTTCACTTTTACTAACTAACAACGCAATGAATTCATTCCATTGTTTTAGAAATTAATTTTCTGACACAAATATTTCAATTTGTATGTACAGATTCAGATTGATGGAGTTAATTATTACGTAGGGAAAATGCCTCCACACATTTCACAAAGTAGCAACTTTGCAAATGCTGACCAATTGTATCTAATCAAACTGGAGGTTGACAAAGTGACCTAAGTTGAAATATTCCACACAAAAAGCAACAAATACAACAGCAATAATAATGAATAAAACAAAGTCAGGAAATGGGGTGGACATATTAAGTAGAGAGTTCTAGATATACTGCCTGTGCTCATACCCATCATACGTACGGTTCAGCCTCCACTGGTAGTTTGCTTGATGATAACCATGGTATTCACGTCAAGCGATGACTTCCTAAAAGTCAATCTTTTCAAGTATTCATATTATTAAGCAGGGCCGGTAGCAGACAACTTACGTACGGAGATTTTTTTTTATTGTTTTGACAACACAAACATCTGACACTTGTCACACAACTCGTATTACTTATAAGGCAATCACTTATTTACAGCAGCATTTCTAGTTGCTACATATCCTATTGGCATATACTTAACCTACTTAAGGTGATTTAGATTCTCAAAATGCTCTTGTTATGTAAAAATCTTACTGATCATCACAATTACACAAATGGTTCTGACTTTCTCCCAATCTCTGACATACACGTGCAAAAACAGCCAATAAATGTAAACGTATCTCCTTTTTCTTTTCAAGATGCCCACAAGCTTTTTTCACATATCCAACTTCAATCAAACCTGGTGCCACTAGTAAATTGAAACAACTCTGATTTATAGCTATATTTAGTAGTGCCCGAACCAGCAGGTGTTATATCAAACAAGTGGTTTCATTTCAACCTTCCATCCTATATCTGTGTTGATGTGGCTACCATGGGTAGTTTCATTATTCAACAAATGACTGTGGTACCAGGTTTGAATAAGCTGGGACAGATACAAAGTGAATGCACTCCTTTGCTAAATGTAAGCAAGCCAACTCCAAACTGACTACTAATACTTCATCAACGCAAGTATCAGAAAGTTGAAGTTGAAAGGAAGAGTGACAAGTAAACAGCAGTGCCTTACCGTCAGCGAAGGGATCATGTCTAGCAGGTGAGATGATCATCATTCGTCTACGAGCACGATATTCATCTTCACGTTCAGCAATCCTAGCTGCATTGTTACCAGCAAATGGGTCATAGTCCTTTCATAACAGAAAAAAATAATGATTGTGATTACAAATAGGTGCATAATCTGCCTGTAAGGAATATGTAAATTTTGCCATTTGTAATATCAATAAAAGTGTTGCAATATCAATAGACAAAATGAAGGCAGTATACATGTACTTTTACAATCATTAGCTAAGTAATTATCACAAACTGATTTGAGTGATTGATTCTTTACAAAAAAAAGAACAAGTTTGTGTGGTAAATAAGACAAGTCGAACAAGAATTAATGACTGAGTCTACCTTAGCTGCCTCCTGTGCTTCACTGAACAAGGATGCTGGAGCCGTGATGCTGCTCTTATTCATCAAGGAATGATTGCTGTAATCATCTTCATCCTAAAAGAGAAATCAAGACGAAACTGATGAATACATCCACAGAAACATGTGAAACATTATGAAACAACTACCGCTCATTAAATGAATTCAATATCAGATTACAATGCATACACAATATCATCATGGCCTACAATGTATCTTTAGGCCTCTGCTTCGGTATTAGGTACAATCATGAAAATAAAAATTAAAGAATTCATGAAAACCTCCACGTCTCCCTAAATGTGGCTCGACTTGTACTTCTCCACTGATGAAAGTTATTTGGTTTTGAGATGTTCCGATTCTGTTGTTACTACTACAGCTTTACAGGAGGTTTTGTAATTGATGATTAACATCTAAAATCTAACATGAATGGAAAGGACACTGAATAATGTTAAGGCAAGATGTCTCAATTAAATCATACACTGATTACTATAAATGTTATGAGTACCTCATCTGCTTCATTAGCTGCAATGGAATAGTCATAGCCCTCAAACCGGCTTCGGACACTTTTATCATAGATTTCTCGGTCAAAGTGCCCCGTCTCAGCAAATCCTGCAGCTTCATCCTTCCCGTTGGTTGCAGGTGCTTCATCGTTTTGACGAAGAGTTGCAGTGCGGTTTTGTATCTCTTGAATCTGCCGCTCAATATCTGTGGGTACACACGTAAATTATGTTATCATTCCAAAATAACTTCTGAGACCTTTGCAGTCTTTTTTTAATTTCAATGTCCATTTGTTTCTTCTGGATGAAAATGCATCAGGGAGATCCCAATCATTACTTTTGTGTTGTGTTTTTCTCTCCCCACAAACTTTCCCATGAAAAGTAAAACCCCGCCGGCGCCCTCTATCCGAAACATTCTGGTTGGCAAAAAAAAAAAAACCGGTTGTCAGACATGACAGGGTACAAATACGTTTTTCCTGTCGTTTTCAGTCAATGTACGATATACACGTTGTTTGTCTATACAGCACCGCGCTCGCGAACAGCTGTGACCAATCACCAATGCACAAAATGTGGTTTCTTACGTCTGAAAAAGGCAAACAGTTTACGGATGAAATCACAACTAGCACCCAAACAGCTACACAACGTTTGGTGGGAATTTAATACATCTTAATTCTTATAATTCAGCCCTATTTTAAAGAGTATAGCGCCCTCTGTTGATATGGATTGCCGCCGGCAAACCTTTAGTAATCGTTAGTTTGCCGTCATTACCTCCGGCAAAATATCCACTATTTATTTTTTTTTATTTTTTACTAAAAAATAGGGGGCCTAAAAAAAAGAGTCTGAATCCTACTGACTAGCATGACATGTATGACTAGCATGACTAGTGATAGCCCCATAAATGTGGCCTATTTACTGGACTGCCTCCGTAAACATAGGCCACACATCCACATGTACAAAATCGTGTCGACTTTGCCAAATTTTGATTTTCACATTTAGGCTTACTTTGTAGGTTTTTTTTGCTTTAGAAGCATTCTCACCCTCTATATAGGCTAATCAGAAAGTGCTGCCTTTTTTCAGATGTCCACTTTTCGTGAAATTTCCAGATACAATTTCAACATGAAATTTCACAAAAATTAGACATCTGAAAAAGCATGGTCTGGAGGAATAAATTCCTCCATGGAAAAAGGCAGCACTTTCCAAAGTTTCTGATTAGCCTATATAGAGGGTGGGAATGCTTCTAAAGCAAAAAAAAACCTACAAAGTAAGCCTAAATGTGAAAATCAAAATTTGGCAAAGTCGACACGTTTTTGTACATGTGGATGTGTGGCCTATGTTTACGGAGGCAGTCCAGTAAATAGGCCACATTTATGTGGCTAGACTAGTCAGTGCTAGTGAGAATGGATAGACAATGATACTTGATAGACTCTTCTTAATTATTTTTTGGGCCCCGACCCGCAACTACACAATCGCCAAATAAAATCCATAATAGTACATGTAATATTCAGGAAGTGATTATGATCAATAATAACAGATGCATAACATTTGAGATTACGAGTAAAAACATGAATAAAATCAGTGGAATGGACACTCGCCTTCTCTCGAATGAATGGCCGCCATCTTGCAACCTGCCTTATGGCGCTGGCATACGGCGATAGCTAGCTAGCTCGATAGCGCATGCAATAATGCATAGCACGTACACGTACGTACAACAAATACATGTAGGCCTACGCGCTTTATGTACGTACGTAAAACGTTAAAAAAAATCTCGCTGTTCGTTGGTACTTATGGAACGGTATCCCTGTGGCGTTATTAATATTATACCTTTTCATCAAAAAAATTACACAGCTCAAAACAAATTTGTGAAATACTTTCAATATTTATTCACTCGTTTGTCAAGATTAAATAATTATTTCATCGTCAGATCATAGGCCTCTTTGATTGAATTTTTGAAGTAAAATAACGTTGAGTTATTCTTCAGGCTACCGTCTAACTATTGTGTATGGAGTGCCGTTTCTATCATTTTTGCCGTCATCGTTTTTAATACAAACGTGAAGTTAAGATACACTGGTACCCGCGCGTTCGACATGAGATATTGCGCTAAAAAATGGACGACACCAGTGGGGAAAAAGTGACAGTGGGAAAGTTTACCTGCAAATCATGTGACTCACAGCACACACAACGTGATGATCGTTGATTATGTCGGTTATGAATGATATGCAAAATTCCGCTAGATTTGCAAAACGTAGGTGCTGTAACTTGGCTAGAATAATGGAATTTAAGTTCGTTTTCCTGGTAATAGCGCTCTTGCAAGTTTTATTGCATTGTGCAGGGGCAGCTACATGTGTGAAACAAGACAGTTGTACGTGCAAGTTCGACGATGGGTCTGGCGTGATATCCTTGTCTACTCTAAACACAAGTACAAACCCTGATGTCCCAAGGTACGGCACGACAATCCAGCGTGGGGGTGTGGCATGGAGTGTGGCATGGGGGTGTGGTATGGCGTGGGGTGTGGAAAGTTGTACTTGTAATTGTATGAGCAGACATGGCACTTTGGCGGAGGAGATGGGTGAGGGAGCTTGTCATGTTCTAGTCCGAGTAACTTGGACTCTACGGATCGCTTTTTAACATTTGGACATGGTCTGGCGATAGTAGATGCCAAATTATGGGTAAAAAATAGGGGACAATGACCATGCACATGAATACAGTCATTGCATGCGCACACTGTCAACGCTGTGTTAAGCCATATGGCGTGCGCGATGGCGGTGGACGCAGTCATTGCCCCATAATTTTACCCATCATTCTTTGCGCAGCAGTGCCCTCTTGTGATCATTTGTTATTGCAAGAAACAGTTAAGTGGTGGTGTTGCGGAATAAAAAATTTTGAGATTGTGTAACCAAGATCCTGACGATTTGGTTTGAAACATTCATGAATGACATGCGAATATTGAGCAGCCCAGCCCAGGGGTTGGTACTTGACGTACCGTAGTGAATACGTCACGCGCTCAAAATGTGTGTAAAAGACATTTGCGCATGATTCAGCCCATGAACCAACACGTGCGCGTGCACTCCATTTGTTTGCACTGCACTTTCTGGTTCTAAATGACGTCACACTTCGGTACTCCATAGCTCCATGCTTGACCCATCTCATCTGATGCCAGGGTATGGTGCTGGTGGAGTGTGTGACAAGCATGCAACTTTTCCTCGGATCAGCTGATTTCCTTTTTTTTTTGCTTCCCATGTGTACCATTAAATATAGAAAAAATACTTACAGTATTTTTGTACAAAGTCTTTGGAAAGATTTGAATTTCCTCTTTTTTGTGACTTCCCAGGTGCTTGCCTGTGTTAAGATAAAAAGTTAATAGCCACATGTTTTATTAATCCATCCTGCCACAAAATTCACAATGAAATATTAGCTTTGTACAAGTACCCCCCCCCCCCTTTTGTCTCTAGTTTGTAGTGGACATGCCTTAAATTTTCACATGACAATTATGCAACCGGCATATCTGAATAGAGCATTTATTTAATGCACATATCAATATGCCTTCCCATATATTCCCTATGTATGATTCAAACAACTTCTGGATGTAATAACAGTTTTGAGTTTGTAACTTTTCTACAGCTTCAGCGTAACATTAGGTAACTACAAGTATGGGTACAATCCCTGTAGTAACTTCTCATGGTTGCCAACTTGCAATGGTGTTGCGGTAAGTTACAGCCCTGCACAATAAATTGTCTGTTACTTGTTACCTTCATGTAGCTGTGTAGCCTTTAAACCTCAGCTTATGTAACTTCAACTTTGGGGATTTCAAGTACTTACTGGCGATAAATGGAACCCTTTGTGACTTAATTTGCATATGAACAAAATATATTTTGTCTATATATTGCAACAGTTGTTTGTAGGCATCAGAAAATGCATCATATCACTAGGATTTCTTGTATTTTTATGCCCCGCGGCGAAGCCGAAGGGGCATACTGTTTCCGCCTTGTCCTTCCGTGGGTGGGTGGGTGGGTGGGTGGGTGTGTGGGTGGGTGGGTGGGTGTGTGGGTGTGTGTGTCCGGACAAATCTTGTCAGCGCGATAACTTGAGAAATACTTGACATATGAACTTCAAATTTGGTTTGTGGATTGTTCTTGGTAATCCTAAGAAGCCTTTCGCATTTGGAGCCAAAAGGCCAAAGGTCAAGTTCACAGTGGCTAAAACAATAGAAATCTTGTCAGCGCGATAACTGGAGAAATACTTTACATGTGAACTTCAAATTTGGTTTGTGGATTGTTTTTGGCAATCCTAAGAAGCCTTTTGCATTTGGGGCCAAAAGGCCAAAGGTCAAGTTCACAGTGGCTAAAACAATAGAAATCTTGTCAGCGCGATAACTTGAGAAATACTTTACGTGTGAACTTCAAATTTGGTTTGTGGATTGTTTTTGGCAATCCTAAGAAGCCTTTTGCATTTGGGGCCAAAAGGCCAAAGGTCAAGTTCACAGTGGCTAAAACAATAGAAATCTTGTCAGCGCGATAACTTGAGAAATACTTTACATGTGAACTTCAAATTTGGTTTGTGGATTGTTCTTGGCAATCCTAAGAAGCCTATTGCATTTGGGGTCAAAAGGTCAAGTGTCAAGTTCACAGTGGCTAAAACAATAGAAATCTTGTCAGCGCGATAACTTGAGAAATACTTAACATATAAACTTCAAATTTGGTTTGTGGATTGTTCTTGGTAATCCTAAGAAGCCTATTGAATTTGGGGCCAAAAGGTCAAGGGTCAAGTTCACAGTGGCTAAAACAATAGAAATCTTGTATTTATTCTGAGATTATAGGGATTAGGGATTAATTCATATAAAACCTACAGAAGACACTAATGCTGTCAATGAATGTTCCATGTGACCAAGGTACATGTAAGTTGATGTTAAAAGAGTGGTGTTATGTCATGGGAACAGTCACGGTTGCGGGGCATTTGTGTTTGTAAACACACCTGACTTGTTTTCTTTAAATTTCAAATTTATTGATTTGTTTTTTTCTTTAACAGGTTTGCCAAAAAAGTACAAACGGACAAGAAACTTTTGACGTCGGTGATCAGAAAACAGCATTATTTAATGATGCAGGAACACAAATAACATACCAGGCAGTAGTTGGTGTTGTTACAAAGTAAGTATAAGGGGTATTACGACCTGAATTCCCTGATAATGTCATTTTTTGAATTGTTTACTTATCCTATTTCATAGGAAAATTAGTTGAAATGAAACTAACCTAATGTCTTACTGTTTCGAGAAAAGATGAAAAACCCTGGTTGTTTACAGCGAAATCGGCGGACATTTTGTGGCAGAAGCATACATATTTCAAGCCATCACTATTCAGTGTTCATGTACTGTACATGTTGTGTGTGTGTCACATAAAACACACAGCACCAACACACCCATGTTGATTCTTGCACGTCCGCAGAATGCGAACCACTGTGTGGCAGGATTCACAACTTAACACTCGAAATTTTGATTTTGGGGAGTAAAAGTTGTGATCCCGAAATTCATTACAGCATGGTTCTCACAAGAATAACACAAAAACGCCCACTTTTTAAAGGCTGGTTTTGTGGACATTCAGGGCCTATATCCTACTTTTAAATGTTCTTGGTATGATTGGTATGATTCAAATGATTGGTATGATTTCATTTAAAATGCGTTTTGTAGCCCAATTGGGTGCATTCCAGGCTGTAATGTCCCTTTAATGTTTATGTCAGAAGAGCTGCGTTTTGCAGTTGAAATTCTGCATGTTAGTTTATTGTGCCTGAGCAGTTTTTTCTTTTTATGTGTCAAACCTCACCCACTGGCGAAAACATTAACACATTCCAACTTGTGAATTGCAGAACCACTATAGTCACACTACAGTGTGATACATCAGCATCGACTGCAGTTTTAACAGCTACCAAAGAAGATCCTCAAAATACCTATGTAAGTTCACTGAAATGACTTACAATGTATTGCTGCTCCAGTACAGCTGATTCTTACATAATATTAACATAAAATAATAAACACTTTTTGAAATCATTCACATTTATGACTTTTAATTTCATTTTTTTTTTAAGAAATAGTTATGTTTTAAACAAATAACTAAAAGAAAGAAGAATATACATGTACTTTTGGATCAGGCAGGTTTAGACTGTAATGACCCCCCGCATTAGGTTAGGGAAGCCAAAGGGAGGGCAAATATTTCCAACCTGTACAGAGAGACCACCTGTCTATAAAGACCACTTTTATTGTTTCCCTTGAGCGGTCTTTTTGTACAGGTTTGACTGTACCAAGCAAACCTTGCTGTCGGTGTGATCTCAGTTTCACATGGATTGATAATAAGTATTTGTATGTACAGTATAGTAAAAACAGTGAGAGTATATTATACAAGACATCTTTACGTACTTGGGGCAGAAATTAAGAATAATGAGTTAACTTGACATTAACACGATTTACATATATCTCAGTTGTGAAGTTTTCAAGGTCAAACTTAACTTCTGTTGCTCATTTATAATCTAGGGTAGAGAGCCAAGTGAACTTTATTGATTTCAGCCATTTTCAATTTTATTTCAATTTTGCTGAATAATCGTATCATATTTTATAATGTCTGCCATCTTTGCTGGTGCATGATCCTTTTTCTGTTTCCCAACACCCCTACTGACGTGTACATAATTACTGTGCATTGAAACTGTAATGTTCAATTTCATGTTTGAAATCAACAGCACTTAAATCTGAGATCCAACTGTGCCTGTAAGAATGGTTGTCTTGGAGGTGGCCTAAGCCCTGGATCAGTGCTTTGTATCATGTAAGTACATGAAGCACTGCAGGTGCTCAATCACTTGCACTGCAAAATCACTAGAACATGCATACAGTGACAAATACACTTATAGTTGTTGACATAACTGACTTCCTATAGATGTATATCTGATCACCAGAGTTTAAGAATCATCTGTTAAGGTGCATTGCAGACATTCTTTATAACTTGTTGCTTTCTTCAGATTCAGCGTGGTGGTCATACTGTATCTTGTGGCTGGGGTTCTTTTCTTGAAGTTTGTGCGAGGAGCCGAGGGCAAAGAGCTTATTCCAAATTATGAATTTTGGAAAGATCTACCTCATCTTATCAAGGCAAGTTTTTTTAATTTATAAAGCAAAAACTAATTTGTATACAGGTACCAAAGATTTTCATCAATCTAAAGAAATACTTTGTATCATGTAAAAAGTGAACACTGCGTGACTTTATCTAATTATTAGGTTTGTTAACACTGATTTATGTTTTGCCTTCAGGATGGTGTGTTATTTTTGGCTGGTGGATGCAAAAGTGATTCCAACTATGAACAGATTTGAGCAGTAAGTCACTTGTGGAACTTCTCTCAATGTCTAACAACATGGAGAGTACAGCAATATCAGTATCAAGACAATAGCGAAGCAGACACCTACATACGTGTAGATTTCCGTTAGTAATACTTATTGCATTCAATTAGCTTGGCTTAATTCTGCTGCCATAATTCACCATCTACCCAACTGCAGCCAAAGACTATCACATAATTTCACATTCAGAGTGTGAGACAACATGCTCATTAAGAAAAACATGTTAGCATGTTACAATTCAAATTAGGTTTTGCCCCTCACTGACATATAAACACTGTCTACTCAGTGTGTTACCTCCCGAATGAAAGTTGGAAAAAATCACTCGGACCCACGACCTCATGCTTTCTAGTGCAGATGTCTTACCACTCAACCACCGAGCTAACGGGATCGGTTGGCTGGTTCGAATCAGATGTACATAGCAGCGGGTACCGCATAAGATGGAATTTGTTTTTACAATATTATAAAGTCAAATGGACATGTACTCAAATGGGGAAAAAGTAATACAGGGTGAACATATGAACACATTAAACCTTTCTGGCCAATTTCTGAAGCAATATCTTGAGAAAAACAATTTTGGGAACATATATCCTTTTCTGAATCATTGAGTGTAAGGGCATATTTATAGCTTCAATTCTAAAATACATTGCCTTTGTAGCAAGAAATATACGGAAGGTCTGAAGAGATGTTCCATATGTTAATGTGCACATAAAGTTTGTGCCATTACATTTAAGTTTGAGATGCACTCATTATTTAAAGTAAATTAGGCTCATTGTGATAAAGTAGGAGAGTGTGCCTTAGTAATAGAAATGTTGTGAATTAAACAACAGTGTGTACAAATGTACATACATCACAGGGTCAGAAAGCCTTGTTCTTTTCTAATTGGAGATCAAAGAGTTTGGAGATTAACTTCATATAGAACCAATTAGTACAAGTTGCAAGCTTAGATAAGCTTTCAAGAAATGGTCGCGCTTTCAAGTATTTGTACTTTTCCTACTTTTTCCTTCTTTTGTTTACCTTGCTCCTGCTTTTCCTATTTTTTCTTTTAATTCCTATTTTTCCCTACTTTATCTGAAATATGAAATCTCAGTGTTACACACTGTCAAATCACACAGGGAAGACCTTGGGCATAGGAGTACTGTAACTGTACTTCCAAGAGCTTAGCTGAGGATTGAGCACAAGTTTTGTGAGTACAGAACATGCCAAATGATGCTGTGGACATGAGCGAGTTTCAACGAAAACTACATTTGTGCGCCTAAAGCCTGCAGAAAGTCCTACTTTTATCCTGATTTTGTCATATTTTTTATTTAGAAAATTTGTATCCCACTGTTTTCGTACTTTTCACCAGGGTATGCTTGAAAGCCTGCAATAGGCTGACTATATGTGCTCATGAGTGTGCTATACTTATTTGTCTTTTTTCATTCCACTCCTTTGCTTAAATTCTGAAGATCATTTTTTTCTTGTGGTATTTCCTTTTCAAGTTTTAGTTTTCTTTTTATGAAATATGTTCCATTCAGATATTTCCTTTAATGTGTGTGTTTGTCTTGCCTAAGAGTTCATTAAAATTATAAACAAGGTTGAGTTGTTTCTAATATAAGTTGTTTTGTTTGTTTCTAACTTCAAAAGTGTAATGTCTTGTATATCTTAATGACGATTAACAGAAACCTAAGGGTAACTGATATAGGTTATAGTGACTAACGGCTATGCTGCTTTTCCAAGGGTCCTATTTGTTCTTCTTTAGATATGTATTTTTCACAAAGATTCAATGTATTTTCCTGGTGTTTAAAACTTATACTTTTGTATTAGCTTATAATGTGAACAAGGTAATATATGTGATACTTTTTTGGTAGCTTGCTTTTAGCATTTGTTGTGTGTCTTGTTTAAATATGTCATCAAAGTTTGTACGGCCAGTTATTACGATTGTGTATGAAAAAAAATCAATTGCACAATGGGTCTGCCGGACATATATGGAGGTCGCTGAATTCTTGAAACCACAAGTCTAATCTAAATAAAAAATTATGTTTTATTTGAGTTGTTAAAATGACGATTGTCCACTGATATTTGTATAACAGGCTTTCCATAATACGTTTTGGTGTACATTGTACACATTGTACATATTCGGACCTTGTCAGTGGATAAATAACATTGTTTACAACTTTTTGATAGTCTTGTCTAAATCATGTACTAAAACTATAAAAGGTTGTATTGACTAAATTATAATATTATTAAAGAAATACCATCAGTAGATTGCGTGAAGTATATTATTATCATTTTACATTTAGTCGGCTTAAATGTTAATTGAGCCAAATTGTTGGAAAGCACATTCACGTATTGTTCATTATTTTTTTACCAATACCGAATAATGTACATGTAATTTCCTCTCAAATTCATCTTTTTTTCCACGTTAAATTAGAAAGGTTTCTGTGAGCAAAATTTAGTATACATGTAAACGCTTTTATTCTGAACATGCCGCTGTGCACGATTTCCTGCGAGATGTTTCCGTTATACATGCGTATGTTAATCGAACAAGTATTGGAAATAAATCCTACAAGGCAACCTATCTGGAGCCCATGATGTCATTACTTTGTCCTTATTGTATCGGTGGATTTCTGTAAATCAGGAAAAGAGTTTTATAGCGTTTTCGAAACGACCGGCTTTGGCTTCGTCTTCGGCTTAAAAAGATTTTAGTCCCCAACTTCTGGAACTCCAGCTACAGTTAGGTACATTTTGGTACCTGTTATGCTTCAGGAACATTCAATCGGTTGATATGAAGACAAAAATTTGAATATTTTCGTTTAGTTTGCCTCTCAGTGATTCAGAAGTCGGAGGCAAAGCCGAAGCCGAAGCAAAGGTATCGAAAACCCCATACATGTCACCATGCGTTTCCGCGTCAGTTTCAAACCCAGGTAATTTTGTAATGGACTAAAGTTGGTTACGAGTGTTTGGAAGAGCGACCTCTAGATCTGAGCTGAACATTGTCAAACCACTTGTACGTGTAAATGGAATCTGATACAAACTTGGAATTTAACCCCGTCCTTTTGCTATACATATAAATCACGATAATTTAAACAAAATCATAACGCACATAACGTCCATGGGAAAATGAAGCTTTACTTATTTAAGATGAGTTCTCAAGTATATTACTTCAGATATTAGAATCAACATGTTCAGTTTGTCCGTCAGTCTGTTTGTTTGGTTGCTGGTTTTGAAACTGTACCATGCTTTACCAGAGTGTACGCAGATAGATGAATGTTCATGCGCACTATCTGACGGTAAGCAAATCAACATACGATCGCTGGGAACCAAAGGAAAACCAAGGTATGACACTGGCTCCTATACTTTTGTTCTTGCTCTTGATCTATAACCCGTTGTCAACCTGTCTCTTTGTCACTGAGACGGTTGTTGGCGATGGACTATTCCTAACAAAATTCTACGTGTATTTGCTTTAATTTTTCCGGAAGCGTTTGTGAGCCAGGCTGGTAAGATTTCAGTCAAGCACCAAAGGTCAATATTTTTTTTGTCATACACATACTTGTATTTACAATTCTGCACTATGAAAGGATATCACTTTCTTTGATGTTTGTAGATTTGCATATCAAGAACAGCCCGATGATAAGGATTATGAATGCACCTATAACCCATGTTATGACTTCAGTGATGACAACTGCAAGAACGTCATTGTAAGTAATGATCATCACTGACAATATCGGGGAACTAAAACAAGCCTGAACATCAATTGTAATAACAGTCCTTGAAATTATGTTTACTTGTAATCGCCTTTTGAGCTCTCAGTATAGGTATAAATTAAGTCACAAGCCATACAAGGCAAGATTTGACCGCCAACACCTGGAGTTGTTCATAAAAAAAATAAAAATTAAAAAAAACCCGCAAATACACAAAGAAATCAAAGCAAACAATTTCTGAAAGACATATCTGATGGTTGACATTTTCAGGCATGTCAAACTACAAAGGACCGTACCTCCTCGTTAGGTCTTGGTATAGCGGCAACAGCTAAATGGGGATCACAAACAGGTGAATCCTACACCATCTCATATGAAGATACGGTAACCAGCAGGTGAGTATATATGCTATAACACAAGGTGGTACATTTACATTATACATTGTACACGCAAAACGCCGCAAGAATGTAAATTATATTCTATACTATACGGTTCAGCCGAAAGGGGTGCAAGTTCCATTCTTTCTCTCTGGTAATGAAACCAAGAACTCGTCAAAAGTGCCTTAGGCACTCAATGTAGCTCGAAATCCCGAAAGATCCCGTTGAGAGAAGACAATGAGAAGAGGATTGTAATTAGAAGAATATTCTGGGTGAATCCGCGGTAAAGGGACTGAACCTAATCCACATGTGGACCCAGTGGCGTAGCCACGTGGGGGGGGGGGGGGCCTCCCCAGTCGCCCCCCCCCCCCTGAGATTTTGAGTTTCTAAAAAACATATCATTGATCTACATGACGCCCCCCCCCCCATGAAATGTTCCAGCCCCCCAGCGGCCCCCCCCCCCCTGAAAAATTCCTGGCTACGCCACTGTGTGGACCAGGCAGGAATCGAACCCATGCCACAGCAGTGGAAGTCGAGAACATTAACGACTGTGGTCGTTACTGTGGTCTGTCATCAATATTTTTATTGCCTCTGAGGCTCTGATACCTCCTCCCCAGGGTAACGAAGACTCTTATGGCTGTTTTATGCATGCTCATTTATTTTTGATAATTTTTTTGTTCAGGTCAGCGTTAGTTGAATTACAGTGTGATGAATCTGCCACGGCACCTAGTCTTCAAGTTCTAGGAGAGGAACCTGGAGAGGCAGGCAGAATGGTGAGCATGCTTTGAATCGGCCAGGGCCATTTGGAAAGTTATGTGAAATAAGTCGGTCTCTTCTAGTGTTTCTCTCTAAAAAAACAAATGAATCTACATAAGTATCTAACATGAATGTCAATGCGGACCTTAATACGTGTGTCCTGCCCTACATGTATAATGAAAGTGACTTTTCTACATTTGTTTGGACCAGTATTTTATTCTGACGACAAACTGCGCGTGTCCAGGGAAATGTCAGGGTCCAACACCAACTAAACAGCCAGGCGGTGGATTACCCATCAGTATGGGATCGATCATTTGTATCAGGTGATGAGCGTCTTTTGTCCGATCTAGTCTTGATTAAATAGCTCGTTTTTTAATGTTGATATAATAATGTTTTATATTTGTTTACTTTACCATGTTTTCCATAGAAGTAAAAAAAAAACCACGTAATTTGAAGCCACGGTGCAGCGCTAACGTTTTCGATTTCAAGCGCGAAAGGAGAACATTTTCATGCCCAAATTTTGACTTTTGTCACCTTTTAAAACCGTTTATTTTCCCGTCATTTCATTCCTAAACGGCATCCATAAGAGGAGGTAGCAAGCCCCGCCCCAGCCTCCCCGTCTCCCTCCAAACCTCTGCCGGCTATTGACGCATGTAAGCCTTTTACGTTATGTAAGGTAGTATGTTTGTTTATTGCAGTTTTTCAGCACTACTTCTTATCTACTTCATATGTGGAGTTCTCTTTATGAAGTTTGTGCGCGGAGCTGTTGGACGGGAATTAATTCCTAACGTATCTCTATGGGCAGGCTTACCTGGTAATGTCAAGGTAAGGTTGTCTTGGTAACGGATGAAGTTCGGGGAATTATTAAGGATCTTGTAAATTATTGTCGGGAAGGGTAGTTTATCGCCCACACGAAAAAAAACCACCCAAATTCGTTTAAAAAAAAATCCTTTCCCCCCCCCCCTTTGTTTTTTAACAATCCGTAGGCCGTTACCTCACATTTAAAAACACTTTACGATTGGTATTAATTATATTGTTGTATTTTTGTTTATTGTACAGGATGGTTTTATGTTGGTTTTCTCTTGTGGCAAGAGGACAAAGTATGACGAAATCTAGCAGAAGTTCATGAAGAGAGGAAAAGGCAGGAACATATATCGGCAGAAAGTCCAAAGCAAGACATTCAATTAGTAGCGTAGTTCTTTGAAATGGAGAAAATGACATCCACCTCTGCAGAACTGATTCAATTTTAAGTTTACTATGGTTTACAATGAGTTGTACATGTTTATTCTTTAAAATAATATCAATTATCTTCAAATCCATCTTTGCCGTTATATCAACAAGAAAATAACAATTATATTATTTTTCTGTGTTTTTGATTATAGCTACTTCAAAATGCCCTTATATTGCCCATGCTTTACGTTGGAAAGAACCTCCTCTTAATGGAATTAACAACATTTCAAAAACGTTATCCTGTCAAATAAATTGATTGAACGACACAATACCTTCTCTTTGAAGTAATTATTTATCAAGGCGTGACCTTTGCTACTATGAAGTGTGTCAGTCATGTGTAAAAAAAAAAAAAAATACATATAAAGGCCTATAGCGTGAGTAACAACGTTTTGTCATGTGATTTTGTCAAAGCAAGAGACCTCAATAAAATATTACAGATTAGAATATACAAACACAGCATCAAATAGTGCTGGCTGGATTTTGATCCCGAGCTGAAGTTCGTTGTTCCAATTGCAGAAGTGCAAACACTGCAGCCTTGATACTGCCCTGTACTGCAATAATGCATGCATGCTCAAAATAATGATCAAAATTGTTGAGAGTATCTGTGCAATTATTACATTAACACTGAATTCAATTATCAGCCTAATTACTTTCATGTGATGCAGCAGAATGGCGATGTTTGTTCTGCTCTCAGCTGAATTCACTATTTTCCTGTTAGTCATTATACTGCGTGACTGCAATGCCGATTTACCAACGTGTAGGCAACTCAGTGAGTGTGCTTGCGCCCTGAATGATGGCCGAGAGGTTAATATATCTCGCCTGGGTGTGCCAGGATTTCCAAAGTAAGTCTAGTCACTTCATTGATAATCACATTAATCAATTCCATTTTTCGTACATAAGTACATAATTCGACGGATTTTCGTAAATACGAAACGCCATCAATTATTTTATATTTCACCATTCGCATTGAATTGGTGCGCATTCATAGAAAACTCTTCAAGCTAAAAAGATCGACGTACTGCTTAATTAAAGCTCCAAAATTCTGAAAGCCGCCATTCCGAATAATCGTGGATCAATTGTTTTGTTAGGTGCACTAGAAACAAGTTTGGTTGCATAAGCATTTCGAGAAAGTACAATATTTTCTTGCATTTTTAAATTTCGAATATTCCGATTTTCTTGCATTTTTTGTTGCATATTTCTTTTGTATTTTTGTTGTTCTATTCACTGCATAATATTATATGATTTTTATAGATTTAATTACCAAAAAAGTGGAAATTATTATTACACCTACAACCCATGTTACAACTTCAAGGACAACTACTGCGGGACGGAATGCATAGTGAGTATTTTATCAAAAAAATGATACATGTCCAATTTGTTCTAATGGCATTTAGCCAAAAATGCTTATGATATACTTCATCAATCAAAATTGTTAGCGCCCAAAGAATATGCAAACTCCTGACAACTGTATACGAAAATGTGCATCAGTCAACTTGAATGATTGACATTAATTTACACAAAACTAGAATTAACAATGCACACTAAGGGCGCCCCCATCCAAAGGACCGGGGTTGATGTATAAATGCTGTATGAGTTCTATTTTTCACCAGGCGTGTCAACACAATGACGCCGGTACTACTAGCTTTCCACTGGGAACGGCTGGAAGTGCCGAGTGGAGTCAAGATGGAGGTTATTACAGCATTCATTACAGAGACGGTGCAGGCGGCAGGTGCTCAATTAATTATGCAAATATGAATGAGTTAACAGAGTATAGTCATATGGTTGGGCTCTGGGATAGAGGGATAGGCCTACGCGTAGATAAGAAAATGAAGGAGTATAAGGTCTGGTAATTAGCAGATGATGAGACCAACATCTCAGCATCATGATCGATCAAACTTCAGTAAGCTTTCATGATTTCTCCCCTATGACAGGTCAACAGTAGTGGAACTTGAATGCGACGCATCTGCACAGGAACCCAGGCTGGATGTTATCGGAGAATCTGGGTCGTCAAAATTATACGTGAGCTCACAAAATTTATTTCGTTTAATGATTTCCAAACTAATTTCATGAGAAACACTTTCTATGTAATTTTTTTTTTACTTTTTAATTCAATGATAATTTGGAGCTCGTGTGAATTATTTTTCATAGTATTTTCGGATGACAACCGAGTGTGCGTGTCCAGGTAGATGTGGACAAACAGCCCCGCAAAGTGGAGGATTGAGTGCTGGAGGTGTCATGTGTATCATGTAAGTCGCTCCATTCTATCCAAGCTCTGAATGAATGCATGATTACAGCCTCGGTTTAGCATAAGTATTGGTCGTGCTGGTCCAAAAATCAACATTCAATTTCAAGAATAAATAGATTCATTCTTTCGACAGCTTTTCTGTGCTGGTTGTGGTATACTTTATTGGAGGCGTACTCTTCATGAAGTTTGTACGAGGCGCAGGAGGAATGGAGCTCGTACCGAACTCTGGTTTTTGGAAAGAGTTACCAGGATATATCAAGGTAATCTTATTATATTCCCATTCACGGGGGGGGGGGGGGGGGGGGGGGGAGGGCAAAAACTGCATAACGCCAAATGTGATGTGGGATAGGCCTTTATACATTTGCGGTCAAATGTGGAATCAAAATTACAAAAAGCCATGTCACTCGCTAATTTCGCATTGTCCTGCGAAGTTATAGGCCTATTATAAAAATGTTCATTGTTTCTATTCGTTTTGCAGGATGGCGTCATGTTCGTTATTAGCTGCGGCAAGCGAGCATCGTATAAATCCATGTCATGAGTAAGAAACGTCTACTGCCAAGACTGGTGTTCAGAGTGAATTTTTAATATTCGTTTACAGAGTGGCATAATTAATTAATAAACGGAGCAAATTAAAAATACCCGATTGAAATGATTTATTATTAAACAGTTTAAAATTCGCATTGTCCTGCGAAGTTATATTATAAAATTATGTTTTGATGTTTGAGTTCAGGACTTATAACCAGAGGAGGATCCAGGAATATTTGCGGGGGGGGGGGGGGGTAGGTGATAACTTATATTTGTTTTGTGTGTCGGGGGGGGGGGGTTCCCCAACTCCCTCTTGGATCTGCGCCTGTTAGCTTGGATGTATATGCTGTTATATATTTCAAATTATAACAAAAGGTATACACGACAATAATTTACAAAGTAACACCTATTTTTTGTTGATATTTTCCGCTTTATGTTATTAATTGAATATGCTTTAAGTTAATTTATTGCATGTATGTACATTTGATACAGTTCTTTCGTTTGTTTAACTCTTGGTAAGGGCACTTGTTATATAACCACAGTGATAATTTCGTGGTGATTTCAACAGAGTATAATACTCAAGTATGAGCAAATACAATTCATGGATTTAGACTGGACTTTACTCTGGTTTGTGCATGGTCATTGGGTTAAGATCGTAGGACCCTCCATAGATGGGCTATAGTTCCCGGATCGTAATTCTGCAGGTTCTTCCGCCGAGAATTGAAGAGGATCTGAACTGTTTGGATTTCCTTTTGCTTAAAAACACTCTACAACTGACGGACAACTTACATTTACAGTCAACAAAGCTAGGAATATTCATCCAAGGTGGCGCCATTATCAACGGACATTATGGTGGCCAGTTTTATCTACGGATTAGTAGTGTGTTTACTGTTAACAACAGCGCGATGTGATCTTCCCAAATGCAGTAAAGTTGATGATTGTTCGTGTAAGTTGGACGATGGTAAAAAGATCGACATCCGCCCTATCGGTTATCAAGGAAACCAGGCGCCTAGGTAAGATTTATTTTTTAACAAACCAAAACAATAGAGTGTGCGAAAAATTAAGTCAATTGAATGGAAAAGAAAACACAAACTCGTTGTGGAGATCATAACTCACTAATACCTGTTGTTCTGAATTAAACTTTTGTGTATTTAGTCGTGATATTTGAAACACGAACATTACTTTTTAAATGCAAATGCCGAACAATGACTTTAATACAACCAAAACGTGTGAGCAGCGCGAAAAATGGAATCTCATTTAAAGTCAACCGTTATTAAAAACAACGTATTGGCTGTGGAGATGATGCTCAAGAAATACCTGTTGTCCTGAATTAAAATGTTGTTTAATATTTGGTCATTATGTTTCAAACAAGGATGTTAATTTTCAGAAGTAATGTCGAACAAGAAATTTGATACAACCAAATATTGCCCGCTGTTTAGTATAAAGGCATGTCCGCACACTTTGCCTACGAGCATTTTCATTCACAGAGGGCGCGCTATATTAGTGGTGGTCCCCATCGTATAAAGCAACACGGTATATTATAACTTTAAAAAAATGCCAGTTGCCCTGAATAAAAATTGTGTCTATTATTTGGTATTGATGTTTTAAACAAGCCGTTCAATTTCAGAAGCAAATGTCAAACACTAAATTTAATACAACCCAAACAAAAGAATATGGTGAGCGCGAAAAAAAAAATGGAAAAAAACCCACATACTTGTTGTGGAGATCATAATTAAAAAAAAAAAAACCTGTTGTTTTGAATGAAAACTTTGTCTAATATTTAGTAGTGATATTTTTAAACAAGGTTTTTAATTTTCAAAAGCAATTGTCCACCCATAAATTTAATACAACCAAATATTTTCCCCCTGTTTTGTTGAAGGGTATGTCCGCACACTTTTGCCAACTGCCATTTTCTTTCGCAGAGGGCGCAATAGTGGTCACCACCGTTAAGGACTTTTCGGAGTGGGTTTTTTTGGGGGGGGGGGGGGGGAGAAACATGCTTATTGTGGAGATGATTACTAAAGAAATAACAGTTGTCGTAAATTAAAATCTTGTGTAATATTTGGTTGGGATGTTCTAAACAAGCCGTTTAATTTTCAGAAGCAACTGTTCAACAATAAATTTAATACAACCAAAATAACAGAGTGTGGTCAGCTCATTAATGTCAACTATGGCAAAAAAAACCAGTATACTCGTTGTGGAGATCATAACTCAAGAAATACCTGTTGTATTGAATTAAAACTTTGTCAAATATTTGTTCGTGATAGTTTGAACAAGGTTTTTAATTTTCAGAAGCAGCCTCCACCAATGAATTTAATACGACCAAATATTTTCCCGCTGTTTTGTTGAAGGTATGTCTGCACACATGCATGTTCATTCAGGGTGCGCTACACTTTAGTGGTCACCACCGTTAAGGGCCTTTTGTCAACACGGAATTTTCTGTCTGTTTTCGGGGGAAAACACGGCTTGTTGTGGAGATGATAACTCAAGAAAAAAAAGTTGTCATGAATCAAAATCTTGTCTAATATTTTGTTGGGATGTTCTTAATAAGGTTTTCAATTTTCAGAAGCAAATGACCAACAATAAATCAATACAACAAAAATAATAGAGTGTGCTCAGCGCGCAAAAAAAAAATGAAATCAAAATGGTTGATGAAAATTATCATTCGGAAAGTGAGCTAAGCCAGGCGCGTGCGGCACATTATAACATATTGTGGAATTAATAAGAACCGTCATCGCTTTAACAATTACACTTATGATTTCTTTACAGGTTTAAGTTTCAACCGGACCCTTTAGGCAATTGGGAGTATGCCTTCAATCCATGCTACGATTTCTCTGACTCATACTGCACAAACGTCATCGTAAGTACACATGTAGCGGTAGCCTATCATGTACATTGCCATGGCTGCTCTAAAATCCTATTTGTTAATTCAGTTTCAAATTCGACTATATTCATGGGCACGAAATAACAGCTTGTAATACTGCGAAAAAGGTAACTTTTAGTTGTATTATTTTATGATTGAGCGATTACTGAAGCTGGGAAATTAATGTTTTGTTTTAGGCTTGTCAGAAGGGCAGTACTGAATCATTTGGCCTGGGCTCGGCCTCGTCAGCTGTCTGGGATAGTAATGGAAATCAATATACAATCACGTACACAGACGGTAAAACTCAAAGGTAAATATATGTAGATCCGCTTTGTATCAAGATTTAACATTCCACTTCAACTGGACAAGCGCATCATCTCAAACGGTTTACTGTAGCGCCGTTACCAATTTGAATAATGCGCATATATATAGTACTCGTATTGTCAAAAACAAAACTGGATGTAAGCCTACACACAGCAAATAACTCGTATACGTGACTGGCTTACAGTCTGCCCCAAAGCTGGGTAAGTTATGGAAAATGAAATAAAAACCAGGTTCGTTTTCACTCGTTCGCAGGACTACAATTGTGAACTTAGTTTGCAGCACGTCGGCCAGCCAGCCTACACTGAATGTACTTGGCCAAACAGATCCAGCTAAGCCGAACTATGTAAGTCAGTTAGACCCATATTGATCTCCATTAGTAAGACTACTTCTTCACTGTAAAGGCGCGTCATGCAAGAGGACAAGCCACGTCATACACGCCAAAAAAACAAATAACTCGAAAAGCAATCACATTGGTAACGCGCCATAATTGTCGTCGGTATTGTGTAAACCACTTTTCAGTTTTACAGTTATTTCAGCAAAACAAATTGAAAGCTTATTATGATTAATACATCTCATAAATGTTACCATTCAATCAAGCAAGTGTGGATCATTCACATTTTGTAATGATTTTAAACGATTGAAATCAATTTGATATTGACTTACCTTTTTTGGCACTTTGGCAGTACTTCACTTTGACGTCCGAGTGCGCATGTCCAGGTGGTTGCGAAGCTCCTACGCCGCCCTCATCGTCAGGATTGAGCTTTGGTTCTATACTGTGTATCATGTGAGTTTATTATGATAAAAATCCCTTGAAATACAGAAATGCCACACATGTATGACTCCACTTTTTCAACTTTGTGTGTGGGTGTACGTGTGGGATGTTTTTGGGTAGGTACGGTGTGGAGAACGTTATCATTTACTCCCTACCCCATATAAGCGATAGGCCACACCCCTCTCTTTTCTCTCTTTTTTTCAGCTTTTCGGTGTTTCTTCTTGTTTATTTCATCGGAGGTATATGTTTCATGAAGTTTGTTCGTGGAGCAGGCGGAAAGGAAGTCATACCCAATGTGAACTTCTGGACAGAGTTGCCTGGCAACATTAAGGTAATGAAATACGAGATAAATGGGAAACAACATGGGCGTCGCATGATTTTTTCTAGAGGGGGCAAAGCAGGTTTTCCCTCGAAATCCCTGCACTCTTCACAGTGTATTCTGACTTTTTTAACCTTAATAGCAATAGTACTACACACCTCTTTTCTTTTCTTTTCCGGGGGGGGGGGGGTGCCCCCTCCACCTTGCGACGCCCATGGGAAACAATTATATTTTGAGTCTTGACATGACACAAATTTTCCTGATGAGTTTCAAAAATTGTATATTTATTCCAGGGCGGGGCAAAATTTACCGTCGGTCTCTGCAAGAAAGAATCTAAATATGAAGACCTAGGATAAACGGCAGACGAGGAACAAGTGGAACGTCGGTTTCATTTTATCATTTATTTTCAACAATCGAAGCAGAAAACAGAGAACAGCACAAATTAATTCCATGATTGATTGTAGTCCCCCAAATTACTGACATTTTAATATCCTGGTTTTATAGCAAGATAAACAGTCAGCATTAACTTACTTTTTTATATACTTTTTATGTTTCATTTCAAAACAAAAATAATCAAAGTTTCTTGAGTTTTACTTGCATGTAGTGTTTTAATACTTTTGTTTAGAATCTCGCGAAATTTGATAATCTGTAAAACTTAAGAGTAAGGTTTGGCATTAATAAAACATGCAGTTGTTATACTATTAATTTCCCTGTCCAGACCTGGCTTTTTGGAGTCTCATAAGGAACTTTGTCACAGGTTTCCAATTAACTAAATAAAATTTCAGATTATACATACATTTGAATACTTTTTATTCCTCTAGAAATCAAATTATTATTAGCACTAGAGGCAAAGTTACCTTCAATCAGTTCTAAACATCTTGTAATAAATATAAAGTATTGATCCAGTGATGATTTGATCATCAATCATTTAAAACAATATCAACTTGTTCAGGGCAT